CTTTTCTTTGTCCATGTGATCAACAGAAGACTTCAGTGGAGCTTTAAGGTTCTGCTTCCAGAGGAAGAACTTCCTTCTCCATCAGCCTCTCAGCTCATGTTGATGTCAGACCCTGTGGACACTGACAGCTGTGTTCCAGCAGCTTCTGGTCCATCCAGAGCTACTTTCTGCTGGTTCCTGGTTGACTCTTGACCATCCTGACCAATCGTCTCTCAGCAGCAGCTGACAGTTTGTGTTTTCTTCCTGATTATGGCAGTAACACAACTGGACCATGAACTTCATGCTGACAAACTGATGGTTCTGGGATCAAATCCAAATGATTTTCTGATTGGTTCAAGTCAATGATTTGCTGTTTCAGATCTTTGCTGAGCTCCTCAGACTTTCTCTCTGTAGTGCTTGTGTCGGAGTGTAATTAGTGGATCAAGTGGGTTTTATTTACAACTTTATACGCCACCAAAACTGATAATTCAAGTTACTGTATGTATATTTTTAACCAGCAGATTGTGTCATATTTCCATAAGAAGTATAATGAATGTATGAAAGAACTAAAAATGCATGATGGGTATATTTTTTGTGACAAACACGCATATGCTTCAGTGATCTGTCAGTTATAGGAATCATTTGCAACTCAAGACTGTCATGATATATATGGTCTGTCCAAGAGTAAGTAAACTTTTGTTCACAACTGCCTGAGATAAACAGTAATAAAAATGTTGCATCTTATTGGAGCATCCTCAACAAACCTCGTTTGCTCGTTTAGGAACATTAAAACAGATATTTGGTTTTGCAGGTGAAGTGATTGGGCCATCTCAGCCAATCGTAGCGACACTCGGAGATGACATCACTTTGCTGTGTCACCTGGAACCTGCTCAGGATGTGAGTGAGCTGACGACAGAGTGGACGAGATCTGATCTGAACCCCAGATTTGTTCATGTGTGGCGCGCTGGTCAGGAACTTGTGGATATGAAACACAAATCGTTTAAGGGGAGAACGACGCTGTTCACTGAGGAGCTGCAGCGTGGAAACGTTTCACTGAGACTCTCCAGAGTGAGACTCTCTGACAAGGGAACATACAGATGTTTTATTCCAGCACTGAAGAAGCAGACTGACATTCAGCTGGTGGTTGGTGAGTACACACGTTTGTATTTGCTCATGATGCATGTGTTTCACTTTATTTGAATGTCTCCAGAAAAGATTTAAACAGGATTAACATACAATATACAAATGAGTAAATCCTTGTGCAGTATCACTGGAGGTCAGATGATTAGAACGTGTACGACGTTACAGTATTTACATGAGTTGACCAGTGGAGCATTTGCAAAATTTTAACTGTTTAGATTCAGTAATCCTAAAAACACGAGTCCCACCGTAGAAACTCAATTCAACAAAAGTCCCTCTGCTATTCTTCACAGACTATGTTTCTCCAACTGCTTTTATTGGACAATACTGAGTCATTCTGGACACTTGTTATCCTGTTGAATGCATTTTGAATCAATGTGGAAACATTTCAACTGATTTCAACAGCTTTTAAATAATTTTTATGTAATTTTGGACAATTTTCAAGTTTGACTGGACACATTCTGAGTCATTGTGATCAACTTTGGGATTCATCTTGTCGGCCAGTATTTTGGTTCATCAACACACATTCAAGCTGCACCTATAAATGTTATCTCCACAACACCTTTTGTACAAATGCAGCCCCATGTCATGATGCTGCCACCTCCGTGCTTCACTGTCAGGACCATGCATCC